TTTCACTTTGATTGATTGTTTGATTTTATGGCAGTGTCCAGACAGCATGCAGCTTTCACTTCATTTGATCTCTTGGTTTTATGGAAGCGTCTGTATAGATTTATGGCCATTTTATGGCCATTCAGTGATGACTCTGCAGTCATTAAGGTGTTGGCCCTGGGTATTTGAATGTGGTTTTGAGCTGCATCTTTTTCTGTTCCAGTGTGGGTCCGGTAAAACAGCGGAGCAAATGCTAGATGCAGATTGGGCCCCACAGTAAATAATCCACTTCCAATCTACTTTCAGTGCACTTTCCAACTGGACTTTACTCTGTGGACTGGCAAAATCCAGTTTGAAAGAGCCATTGCATCGCCTCCTGGACAAGCACGCCCCTTGGTCGTGGGCCCCCCGCCAGGCTGCCGCCTTCAAGGGGGTCAAAACGCTGCTGATTTCTAATAAAGTTCTGGCGCATTTTGATAAGTCCCTGCCGATGGTTCTGGCCTGCGACGCGTCCCCCTAAGGTGTCGGTGCGGTGTTGGCCCACTGTCTCCCGGATGGCTGGGAGGTGCCTGTCACCTACTACTCCGGGACGCTGTCAGCGGCAGAGCAGAACTATGCCCAGATTGACCAGCAGGGCCTGGCAGTTGTGGTTGGCGTCCAAAAATTTCATGACTTTGTATATGGCCGGCCCTTCACCATAGTCACAGATCATCGCCCCTTCCTCGGCCTCTTCACCTCTGATCGTCGGACTCTGCAGGTCCTTTCCCCACGGGTCCTGTGGTGGTCCATTTTTTGGTCCGGCTACTCCTACACACTGCTGCATTGCCCGGGCAAGGCTATGGGTCATGCTGACGTCCTTAGCCACCTGCCCCTACCTTCCATTGAGGCCGACCCAGCTCCAGCCCGCCATATTCTGCAGGTAGAGGACCTTCCCGATTCACCCCTCCCACCGCTCGGCCAGGGACCCCATCATCTCCCGGGTTCTGGGCTGGGTGGTGAGGGGCTGGCCTGTGGCGGCAGAAGGACCCGAGTTCACAGCCTTTGCTGCTCACCGAGACAAGCTGTCCACTTACAAGGGCTGTTTATTGTGGGGAGACAGGGTAGTTGTCCCCAGCGTACTGTGTCACAGAGTCATGCAAGCTCTACATGAGGCCCATCCCGGGATCGTCCGGATGAAGGCCCTGGCCCGGAGCTATGTGTGGTGGCCAGGGATAGATGCAGAAGTGGAGGCTTGGGTGAAGCGCTGCCAAACATGCCAAGCTATCAGGCTCAATCCGCCAAGAGCACCCACTCAAGCTTGGGAATCCAACCGGATGCCGTGGTCAAGGCTCCACATGGATTTCGCCGGGCCATTCCACGGACTGCTGTTTTTGGTCACGGTGGACTCTTATTCGAAATGGCTGGAGATAAGCCTGGTCTCCGCCACCTCCTCCAAAGCCACCATCCGGGCACTCCACAGAATCTTTGCTACCCATGGGTTGCCAGACACCATTGTCTCGGACAATGGGACGGCGTTAACCTCGGAGGAATTCCAGGAGTTCCTCCGCAGCAACCTGATCCGGCACGTATGGTCTGCCCCGTTTCACCCTGCCACCAACAGCCAGGCAGAGCGGATGGTGTGCACCGCCGAGGAAGCCCTCAGCTGCCTGATGGAGGGGGACTGGAAATTCCGTCTGGCGTGCTTCCTCCTGGCGCAATGGACCACCCCGAACCCGGTCAGTGGCTGCTGCCCCGCGGAACTCTTCATGGGCCGGCAGCCCGCAATCCTCTTGGACAGACTGCACCCAGACGGGGCCCTAGAGTCACGCAATCTGTTCAAGCTAGGGTATAATGAGGGCTGCCAAGTCTTACCATAGAGTTTTCCCTTGGAGGACCGTGGCCCCGCCCCGGCGCCCCCAGCTTGCCCGGCGTAGTCACGTAACTTCCGGGTGACGTGCACGTCACGTACTTTGGGGGTGGGGTTCCCCCCAGGGCCCAATCCGTCGGAGGCAGGGAACGGGCCTGTGGGGCGGGGGTTTCTCCGCCCCCCGGGGGGACTTGGCAGCCCTAGTTCGAGCGGAGGGAGGTGCCGCAGGGATTCTTTCCGTAGGATCCTGTATACATCCGGAACTATGGCAAGGGCCCCGAATGGGTTGCTGGCCGAATCATCCACCCCACCGGCCCCATATAATACGAGGTCTCGACAGAACGCGGACAGGTCCTGTGGAAGCATGTCGACCAGCTGCGAAGGCACATGCTCCTGACTGTGGCAGAGGTCCTGGCCCCGGGGAAAACCGAGGTGGGGCTGCTGGACATCCTGGAACAAGAAACTCCAGACGGGAGTTTGCAAGAGCAAGCCCCCATCACCGCGGCTGCACCAGAAGATAAATTGCCTGCCTCCACCTCAGGACCAGAAGAGGCTCTGTTGCCTCCACCTCCCAGTACTCCAGGCACGGGGCAGGACAGGCTTTCTGACGTTCCAGTTCCAACTCCGAGGCATTCCATGCGAGAACGCCGGACCCCAACATATCTAAAAGACTATGTCACATAGGCTGGATTTGAACTACGGGGGGAGGGGTGTTATGTCCGCTGACCACCACTAGGTGCCAGCGACTTACAGCAGAGCTAGACTCTCAGAGAACAATAGGGACTAAGAGCCTGAAATCTCTAGCGGGCACCAATAGGAACCTTGGCGGGAAGGTTAAACCCTCCAATGGGACCTGTGAGTGGCCCACCGGGATTGTACTATCTAGTATAAAGCAATTGTATCTAGCATACTACTCATGGTTCAGAGTGTATTATTGGTTCTATATTGGCCCCAGTTTTGTCTTGTTTCCTTGGCTGCATTCCGCCCTCTACATTTGGATGGAACCCCCTTGTGCCAAAGAAGGCCCCCTGGAAACACCCCCAGCAGGACAACGAGGGGACAAACAGAAAGAGGAGCAGAGCCTGAGTCCCCGCCAGTGTTCCCTCTAAGCTGGGTTACTGTGAGCTAGCTCACAGTTTTTTAGCCTCCGGCTCACCCATTTTTGTCTTAGCTCAGGAGGAATGGCTCCAGAGCAAACTAATTTATGCCGTAGCCAAATTGCTCACTCACAACTTTAGTGCAAGTATTATTATTTATTATTTATTGTATTTATTATTTAGTTATTATTTAGAAGTATGAGCACGGCATGGCAGTGGTGTATATCTCTTTAAGATTAAGTTGTATCATGCTATACACGTGAAAAGGATTGAGAGAGGCACTCCTCCTTCTCTCTGTTTTTAAGCCTCCTTCCCTGCAGGTCGGGGCGTATGTTATTATTGAGGATACTACTGAATAAACAAGGTTACGGACCTGAGCTGTGCTGTACTGGTGTGTATTGGTTGTCGGTCTCCCTACATCACTCTCTACTAAAAGACATTACAACAGACATATAATGGCAGCCCCCGTGAGAAAAACATTGGCCCCGAGCAACAAGTTGTTAGCTACGGGGCTGCTACCCTGCCACAAATTTTGTTAGTCTTTAAGGTGCAACTTCGGAGGACGGCGGAAGACAGGAGAGCCTGGCGGGAGATTGTCCATGGGGTCGCGAAGAGTCGGACTCGACTGTGCGACTGAACAACAACAACAACAAGGTGCTACTGGACTCTTGCTGGTTCAGTTCATGTGACATGCTTCACGTGACATGTTGAATCAAAAGGCGCTGAACCATTTTGAACACACACACAAACACGCACAAAAGACCGAAGACAGAGTACCTACCTAGCCATGATTTGTTCCTGTAGACCCGCTAATTTCTTCTCCATTTCAGGTCTTATTCAGTCTATTGAAACAAGAGGATAAAAGCTTTTTAATTTACTCATTTATGCAGCAGGCAAAAATAAACAAAGAAATAAAGCTTTCTAGAGGCACAGATCTGTGGGAATACAGCTGTTTATTCTACCATCATCTTCTCTCTGCTTACAGCGTATGACAACTACTAGCCAAGCGGTAACTTCCTCCTGTGCATCTGGAACCATGGGACGAGGCAGTCACATGTAAACGTTCAGCCAAGCGGTGAGATCGTTTGCTATACATCTACAATGGATCAGAGGTCTGGGGAAGCAGGGGGATAATAAAATCCTTATCCCCATGTAGGGTTGCCCGCTCAGGTTGTGAAATAACTGGAGATTTCGGGGGGGGGGGGGCCCGGGGGGGGGGG